CATCCAGCAAGGCAGCCAATCAAAAGCAGTTTGGCCCCTCCTGTACTTTAGTTATGCTGAGTTGTGCTGCAGGAATGGGTTGGGCAGAAACGACAGCCTTCAATTGGGCACCCAAAAACGGTTAGTTAGTCTTGGCACCTTTCTTGTCAAACGTCGAAGTCATCAGAGTTAGGGTGCGCGCTAGCCAGCAGGTATGCGCTGAAAAGAAGACCATTGAGGTCTGCGTGTACCGTTGTTAGTGGCAAGACCATGCGCTGCTGGACCGGCAGGGGCATCATCGGCAAGAGGTGTTCAACGTCTCTGAGGGATACTAGCATGGCCTGTACTCTATTATAGAGCGCAGTGTCGACTCGGTAGTGCTCTCGGGCTGTGAACCGTTGCCCCGCTTCGTCCGCACCCTCATATGGATCGGGCGCAACCCGTCTGCGCGCCATTTGCCGAGGGGCCACTCCAGGGGGTCTCACCCAGGACCATGTTGGCGATGTAGTGCAGTGAGGGCGGTGTTGCAAGTTCTGGTAATGCAGCACAGTTCATAAAAGCCTCAACTCGGATGGTATGCAATGAGCACGGCAGTCTGACCTCACGGGTGAACTCCTGGATTTCCTCGATGCTTGAGTTCAGGATGTCTACATGCTTAAGTAATTTGCAATTGTCACAGGCATGTGCACCCAGCACTTGGAAATCCCGAGTTAACTCCAGTGTAGTGATACCAGTGGAGCTCAGACATCCCGGCGGCAGTTCTTTAGCCTCAGCCTGAGTTTGTGGCTCCCATTGACGGCCATCTCCTGAAAAACAAAGGTGGCTAAGTTTATGCAGTCTCGAAAGAGGTAGTGGCCAAATTTGGTTGCACTTCCGAACTAGTTGACCCCTCCCCCGTTGGCATGGACCCACTCCGCAAATGCTTTGTATCCAAAACAGCCTGGTGCTGTAATGTTGTGAAGCAGCTGGCGCCCTCGGAAGGTGTTGTCCGCAATTCGGACCACCGAACTGGGCATCCTGACCACCCGAAGATTCATTGCCCCAGGCCGTATTCCGTTTCACCGCTTTTCTGGCTGACTCGGCCATCCTAGCGCCTCGACTCGTGCAAAAAACACCCGAAGATTTCGGCAGCACTGCCATGCTTCCGCTCCAATTGCACTGATGCCTGCTTCTATACTGACGTGACGCAAGCGCGGCACAGCGACAAAGGTACCCGCAGGAATGATTCCGGCCAGGTTCATGGGAACGTGGACTGCTTTTGGGATATCACGATATGGACATCCTTCGAAGCTTTCCTTCGAATGGAGGACTGCACGGCAGTCACGAAACAGACGATGGTAAATTCTGTGTTCTTTTGTAAAACCTCCCATATAGGGTCGTCAAGGTACTCCGGGGGGAAGTAAATTAGCCGCAGAGAATTTGAGGGTTTTGGAGGCCACAATCAGCTTCTAGAATCCCTCTTCTTTTCTAGCTTCAAACATGGCTCATCGGAGGGTGAATAATAGATACTATCAAGACACAAGGGTGTGTCAGCTACTTTTTTGGGCAACTCTGATGGAGGAGGTTGGAGTTCCTTGAAAACAAAAGACGGTGCGTAGAGGTTCTACATAGTTGGAGATCAGCCTCGTCTGAGATCCACCTGTAGGCCTTGATCAGCGACTTGAGGTTCTACATACAATAGTTGGAGATCAGCCCAGTTCCCTGCCCCCAGTTCCCTGTCCCCAATTCCAGTCCCCTCCCCCCAGTTCCCTGTCCCCACTTCCCTGTCCCCAGTTTGTTGCCCCCAGTTCCCTGCCCAGTTCCCTGTCCCAGTTCCCTGCCCCCAGTTCCCTGTCCCCAGTACCTTCGTCGAAAGGGCAAAGTGATTTCGCACCAACTTTGCTTGTGCTGTAAGGCTCAAGGAGGCTTGGATGGCATCGAAAGGGTGTGGAAAGTAGCTTGAATGGCGAAGTACCATGTCTTTTGAACGTGTGTGCACTTTGTGCAGTCAGTTAGTTCGATCCAGTTCGAACTTCCCTTGAGGGCTGAGAGGCCGATGTATTTGTTGACAAGCTGAGTGGAGCAGCGTTTTCGGTTTTTAAACAGTCAGGGAATGCTTTTGAATGTTAACAGAACAGTTTGAACCTTTGGGAGACATATCACTTGGTTTTGTACATGTATGTTACGACGGTAACCTGTTTGGCTCAAGGCTCAAGTGTGCGGCAGAAGAGGCGCGTTGCGAGTGTGCTTTCTCTTGTTTCTTTCTTTTCGGTTCGGTCGTCGTGCGCGCACTTGACTTACAAGACAGTTTTTCACGCTGAGAGCTTGCGAGGAAGGTTTTTTTTTTCGTGAGTTTGTGTGTCAAACTTTCACGGCTTGTTTCGGTCCAGCACTTGACGACCGACAGGAGCTAGAGTCAAGAAAAAAAGCCATCCGACCAGCACCAAAGTTGCCTTATGCTGTCGACTTGTGTGAACGTTTCAAGCACTCACCACACGAAGCCCTTCTTGATTAGGTGAAATGACCAGAGCTGGCATTATCCTTTGCAAGCAACTGTGGAGCACGCAGCCGGGGGGAGCTCCGATTGCTGTCTGCCGAATCCTTCTTGACGCCGATGCTTTCGATGCTTTCGGTCTCACCTTCGTTTGGATCTGTGGACATTTGCCCTGTACACGGAAGATCGGAATCATGCAAAAGAGTGGCAAGAACATTGTGTTTTACCTTGTGGACCAGGCCTATCACTGTTTAGAGGGGATACATTGTGTTTCACAGTGATTTTTGGCTAAAACATCGCCGAAGCCTAAATTTTCAGCTGTTTTTATATTAACTTTTGTGAGGATCAGGCCTATCACAGTTTTGAGGGAATACTACAAAATCAAAAACCAAAAACAACAGCCCCCCCCAAAAAAACCACCAAAAACAATTACTTTACTTCGAGTGACCCCCACCATGACATTTCAATCATTTGTCTTGATGCCATAGTGAGGAGCATGTTGCCATAGTCGTTCGTATTGTAGTTCTCGATGTTGCTTGTGGGTCCTCGGGTTGTGTGCTGTGGTTGTGTGCTGTGTTGTGGTTGTGGTTGTGTTTGTGGTTGTGTGTTTGTGGTTGTGTGTTTGTGGTTGTGTTTGTCGTTGTGGTAGTGGTTGTGCTTGTGTGGTTGTGTTTGTGGTTGTGGTTGCGGTTGTGTCTTTGTGATTGTGTGTTTGTAGTTGTGGTTGTGATTGTGTCTTTGTGATTGTGTGTTTGTAGTTGTGTTTGTGGTTGTGTTTGTGGTTGTGTTTGTGGTTGTGTGTTTGTGGTTGTGATTGTGTGTTTGTAGTTGTGGTCGTGGTTGTGTCTTTGTGATTATGTGTTTGTAGTTGTGGTTGTGGTTGTGGTTGTGTCTTTGTGATTGTGTGTTTGTACTTGTGGTTGTGGTTGGGTGTTTGTGGTTGTGTTTGTGGATGTGTTTGTGTGTTTGTGGTTGTGTGTTTGTGTGTTTGTGGTTGTGTGTTTGTGTGTTTGTGTTTGTGTGTTTGTGGTTGTGTGTTTGTGGTTGTGTGGTTGTGTTTGTGTGTGTGTGTGTTTGTGGTTGTGTGTTGTGTGTATGTTTGTGGTTGTGTGTTTGTGATTGTGTCTTTGTAGTTGTGTTTGTAGTTGTGTGTTTGTGATTGTGTTTGTAGTTGCCTGTTTGGGATTGTGTTTGTGATTGTATTTGTGCTTGTGTGTTTGTGGTTGTGTGGTTGTGGTTGTGTGTTTGTGGTTTTGTGTTTGTGGTTATGTGTTTGTGATTGTGTCTTTGTAGTTGTGTTTGTAGTTGTGCGTTTGTGATTGTGTTTGTGATTGTGGGTTTGTGACGTGATTGTGTTTGTGGTTGTGTGTTTGTGGTTGCGCGTTTGTGGTCGTGCGTTTGTGATTGTGTGTTTGTTGTGTGTTTGTGGATTTTATCTGGCAAACTATCTGGTTGAGGGCCAGCGGTGCACACTGCGATCGGATCCTTGCGGTTGAGGTCCAGCGGTGCACACTGCGATCGGATCCTTGCGGTTGAGGTCCAGGGGTGCACAC